ACACCACTGTTAACACACCCTGTTTTCTTCAAGTTGATATATCAACTCACTTTTGAGAAGGTGTCTTCCTCTTATGGGGATCTCTGTTTTGCTTCTTTTTTGCCTTGGCAGCTTTCTCTTTCTCATCATCACTGTATTCCAATAGTTCTTCAGGTGGTTCCTCATCACCCTTCCACGATGCATCAGATCCTTTTATTCTGTGGACAACATCAAAGACAGCAAACATTATCAAATAAATATATGAGGTACATGAATGTATTACCTCAGAAATTTAAGCGCCTGTGGTCCCACAAAATCCATGAAGCAACACCTGCCAATACACCAGGAAGTAATCCCCTGCTTTTTTTTCCTTTTTTTTGGATATACACTATGTTCTTTTTTGTGCACACAAGACCAACAGCATAATGTTTCATGCAAAGGACGAGTAAATAGGAGAATACTGTAGTGTCATACACAAGGACATATGCAAAACTGGGAGATCTTGGAATCAAGTACTGTTAAATGCAAGGCTAATAACTTAGCTTTGTGCTATCTTCCCCTCATTTATTATAACTGGAGAATCCTATTCTCCAGTTAGAAAATAAACACAACCAAGCCATACTGTACAGACCAGGGGAAGACTGCCAAGTTTCCATGGTTTGGGTTCTACAGTCTTATACTCTAAACTATCCCTGGACTACCAGATTTCTGAGCCAAAATAAGTTAAAATTGACAAACTACAAATAAATCTGATATAAAATTAGGCTTGCCATTCCAATAACAGTGTGCTGTCGCTACTTGTTAAACCGAGTAATTAGCATAGAATATGGCAGTATTGTATACTTTAGTACAGAGAAGTTGTAATACTTTAACTCATAACTTTGGTAATAGTAAGTCGATTCCAGTAAATGACCCATCATTTTTAAGCTTACAATGTGGAGAATAAGAATATATTGAAAAGTTAAGTTTCAACTTTTGGGCACGGATGCTGGTTATTGGGATACCAAGCCCCAAAATGACACAGTAAACTTGATAAGGACTTTACATATAGAGCAATGTGTTGTTCCTTCTATAATCAATCAATCAATCAATCAATCAATCAATCAAATGTATTTATATAGTGCCGGTATCCATTAATAATGTTCAAATGCGCTTGACAAAGTTAAATTAAATTTAAAAAAAAAAAAAATTAAATAAAAAAATAAATATAAATATATAAATAAATTATTTATAAATTATTTTATTAGGTACATTAACAGGTATTTTTTCTAAAAGCCAGTCACAGACATCTATTCTTGCAAGTCACTTAGGATTAGATATGGAATGTCAAATCACCATTTTGAATATGGCAAAACTGCTGCATACAACGCTTAGCTACAATTATGTCAGTTAAATGTAGTCCAATAATATCCACATCACAAAAGGGCATAAATACATGATAGATTTCAAAGCCGATGAACTGATTACCATTACATAATGGAAGACTCTCCCAGAAAGTGACATACGCATTATACGAGTATTTGTTCCTGCATTTGGAGTTATAATGAGAAAGAGAGGTCATTCCATTAGCATCCGTATATTGAGGCTATACATTAAAGTTATTAATAATTTCAAGTACACTTCTTGTCGAATTATTTAGTCCTGAGTAACGTGACTTAATATGAAGATCACGAATGACGATGCTTACTTGAGCAGCTGTGACGTGAACACATATGCCGTGAGGTCTAATGCTGACGGTGCATAGAACACGTCTAATTGAAGCATAATGCCAAGGTTACTGACATCTGTGGTGGAGTTAAATCGCATTGAGTAGAGAGGATTTTGCACTGGACCAAACACTTCAAATACCTGAAAAGAAAAAATATATATATATTTTTGCCATTGCATCTCAACAATTATATTAATTTACCAATATGTCTTCTTGTAGTTTCAAATACACATGATTATATCATGAGTAAATTTCCCTTAGAATAAAATCAAAATGGTACCGGGTTTGGTTTTACAAGAATTTGTGCTTATATCAGGTCAACTCCGGCTGAATAAAATTGATTATAATATGTTAAAAATGTTAATCTTACTATTGTAGTGACTACTATTTTGTCCATGTTTAAATTCATTAAATATTACGTCCATGTTTTAATTAATCTTATCTATTATTAGTTGTATAATTAAATTTAATACAGGCCTAGTGTATAAAATAATATGAAATGTTTTGCAGAGTAAGTATTTTAATGTGAAAAATGGTTTGGCTTAAATGCGCAGACATGCCAACCATACAAGGGCAATAAGAGGAGTCTGAAAAACTTTTGAGCGGAGTTTTGGCAATGCGAGAGGAGATTCCTAAGACATAGTACCAATGTGATCGGATTGTAAATGTAACCGTTTTGCCTCACAACAGGAATACCGCCGTGCGAGACTAGGCCCTAGGCCTAGGCAGAAAATCAACACCACACCAATCACAACAAGCCACCCGTAGGCATCACCTACAGTAATTTTGAATTCAAACTGACAAGATACTTTCCATTATTAACTTGCATGTTTGTGTGTGCCAGCTTCTTTTTTGGAGGAAGCTCAACACTACTACTCGTTTCACGGTACTGCCTAGGCCCACATCCATATCACTCTCATCAGACTCCATTTTCGAAAATCGTGCTTTACTAGACTGTTGTTGGTACGAAATCAGTAGACCATGGAGCACTATGCAGTTCAGAGTGCAACTTTGACATCAATTTGGCCAAAATCAGTAGACCGTGGAGTGTGAACTAATTTTTCGTATACAGTTCAGAGCATAAACTCTGACAGCGATTTGGTCAATGAAATTGTTTTTTTTTTTTTCAATATCAGTAGACAGTAGAGTGCGAAATTACTATTTTGTATACAGTTCAGAGCGCTATTTCCAGGACAAAAAGTGGTCTTGTTCTTATCTACATCATAGGATTATCATTTTTATTCGGAAATGCGCGATTTATTTCAGCTGGCCAAAATGCATAAAAAGCGGAGATTTTCAAACCAAAATCGGAGTGCGGAGTTTTGCTTAAATAAACGGAGTAACGCCGCCAAAATCGGAGTGGTTGGCATGTCTGAATGCGGTATATACCTAGGCATAGGCTTGAAAATATTAAAATAAAATACATAGAATGTTAGTGTTTAAATTATTTTCATATTACAATATTTAATATTGTAATATCTTAAAGATATAGGAAGAATAAAGAAAAGCTTTGAATTGTACCAAAAATTATGTAATAATGATTATAGCTCATTATTATATTTTACATGTTTGTATTTATATTAGGACACTAATCATCGGAGGTCAAGGTGCCAAGTTTCATAATTCTATATAAAATAAACAAATTATACAGCACATGTAATTTAGACATGTTATTAACATTTATGAAGATGGATTATGGTATTCATTCATAATATAATATCATAAAGATCAATCAGCACATGTTAGAGTAATAAATATAATGCTTATATAAAAATACAAACATACGATCATGTGCAGTTAACACTATGAGTTTTTTTCATATACTTATATATGTAAGTAGCTACTCCGCTACTTTGGGCACTTAGCCAGACAAAAGGACAACTGCCTTGAAAAGGTACTCATGCAGGGCAGGATTGAGGGCACAAGAGGGCGTGGACTTCCTAGGTCCAGATGGATCAACAGGATCACATCTTTAGTTGGGCAATCTCTACCAAAGGTGTACGAATTAGCTGTGAATCAACATAGGTGGCGTGTCAGCCATGACAGAGATGTACCAATCAATCATACAAGTATACCTTAAAGTTTATGAACGTTCTAGGCTGCCCTTTGGTTTGGACCCCATAGTCAGAATTTTGAGATTCCCTGACACAAATTTCTGGAATTACTGATGTATACACAGTTCTCTTAAAAACACAATTCTATAACAACAACATGCACTTCTAATCAATAATCAATATGGTTAGAAATTTAATAAATGGCATCCAATTGATTTTTGTAAAAAAAAAAAAAAAAAAAAACCAAGATAAATAGTTTGATGTCATTTATTGCATTACAGCTGAAAAGAAAATCTGCGCTTGGCTTTGTGATTATAAGGTCGATATATCAAGAACAAAACAGACATTAAAACATTTTTTACAGCATTTCGTTGTGTTTACATAAATCAGTTCATAAATGTCAACTACCCTGAATATACATGAGATGTATAATACATTTTATTACCTTTCTATGAAGGAGCATTGTAAAAGAAAAACCATGGAAAAACAAACCAAATAAAAAGCAGAATTAACAAAAAAAAATACAAATTATATTCAAAAGTCATTAAACCTGCTTTGACATTTTTAAACTAAACAAAGTGTAAGATATCAGAATACTTTGAAAAAAATATTAAATTAAAAATTAAATATTTGTATATATTTCAATTTTTCATTTATTTTATTTCACTTGTTTCAACAAGTACCGGGAACCAAGGAGGCCAAGGCCTGTAATAAGGCCCTCGGACTAATCTTCAATATTTAATAAATAATTACTAATCAAAAATGATTATATATTTTTTTTAAACTTTAATAAACTCCCCAAACTCATACAGACTACAACAAATAAAACTTTGAAAGAACAAATTCAATTGCTTGGAGTACAAATACTGAAAAAAGAGTTTTATAATGCTTCTCCTACAACTAATGTAAACTTTTTTTAAATATTCTTTACAAGCATTGGTCCAAACCATTCCAAAGATGTTTTGTAACACATCTCAATGATTTACTAAATATTTTTAGCACAGCCCTAGAGCGGACATTAATTTTATGCAGAAGTTCTCACCTTATGAAGTGCCTTTGGTAAGAAAAAAAGTCAACTGGAAATGATAATTTATTCAGTATTCAGTATAATTTATTTGTTATTTGCAGGGTTGTTGCTGTAGAAAACTATGGGTGGGTGATAGACATTCTAAGGGTGGGTGGGTGATAACATCAATAAACTCTAAATAATAAGAGTGGATTTTAAGGATGGAAAATTGGGTTAATAAGGGTGGGTGGAGGGCCATGAAATTAGCTTTGGACTTTGTAAAAAACTTCAAGGCTGGGTGGCCCCACCCAAACCCCCGCCATCCATGACTACATCCCTGATATGTAAAATTCATTTTACAGTGAAGTACATTTACAGGAGTCCAATCATAAAAAAATAAACAGAAACATTAACTCGATAACAATATCAGATAATAAAATATCCCTCATGGGACACCATCCCGGTATTTCCGAGTCAGCGTTTCGCAGCTTGAAAATTTACCTGCTAAAATTTATCTATTACTGCTGTTGAACATATCTTAATTTTTTAACTTAACATTCTCCCAGGAAATATTTCTAGATTCTCTAAAACAGCCGGTTATTTATGAAGGTCTCTAAGGGCAACACAGACATGAATTCTCAATTTGCATTTCACATGTAACTAGCAAAATTCTTGTAAAACAAAGCATACTGATAAATTATTTTTCAAAATTCAATTTATTCAACAAAAATAAACATAGATTTTTAAATATGTTTTGTGGTAAATACAAACAAATTGGATAAGAAAAATTTGAACGATAAGGAATTTGGTTTCTGATGGCCAACATGAAATTTACAAAATTCAAAATTCCATAACAAACTAAATAAATTGAAATGGAAAACTTTTTCAATGCATTAAAGTGTTATTCAAACTTTCATGTAATAATTTCAATTCGATGTAACATGACTATATTAATCACTTAAAATATCAAAGGTAACACTCATTCCTCATGTTGCACATAGACACAAGCAGTGAGATGTACAGTAAACTGTGTTTACTTGTACCATCATTACGTGGCTTCAAAATTTGAAAACAGTGGGTCAGAGCCACAAAGGGCTGCTTATGACCTCCAGACAGTGCTCCAGATTAAAACACTTGATTGGGTTACACGTTGACTGCCACACATTTTTTCCTAGTTCCGTCCCTTACGCCCAGGCATAAAGGGCGCCACCATAATAAAAACCATTTCCAATCAAATGTAGTGAAACACGAACAAACATAGTTATTTTTAGATGATTACTTCCAGATGAAACCTCCAGGGCGAGAGTTCATGTTTTGGCGACCACTGCCACTGTTTATGTGCAATACAATGTGGTATGTTGGTGTTAACAGACGTGAACTTGCATCCTTAGCTCCATGCATGAACCCTGTCAGACGTGAACTCGCATCCCTGACAGCGAACGTGTCAAGAGGAAAAAATTTTAAACTTTGACTGTAAAAAAAATGTGCTTTTTACATATTAGGAACTGCAAACATAAAATCTTTGGTTGGATATGCAAACTACGTTTTAATCGAACAATAACAAATGGCATCAACTGACAGGAAATCCAGGCATGTTCAACAAGGGAAATTTCCTTTCTGATCCCCAACACACTGCCACTAAAATTTATCATCGGTATCAAACACAAAGACATTGTACTATGCATAAATTTGTTTTCGGAACAGCATCATCTCATAATTTCACTTACCTTGCCTAGAGCCTGCCTGTCTTCCTTAAACAGCACGGTCTCCATGTCAAGGGCAGGTGTATCTGCTAAGGATTTAATGATTACTGTCAGGGGGAAATGAAAACAAAATATTGATTAATATATGAAGTCAAACAATATTTAATCTATGCATTGAGCAAACCAACTAACAAAATGTAATATTATTATTATTTTTTTTATTTCAATCATTTAAAAAATAAGAATGATATACAAATATTTAACTTTACCAATTAACAGATATGTTATAAATGTATAACCTTTAAAATAATACCCTTCTATATTTTTTGCTTACAGGTAGACCTCCAAATTGGATGGTAATCAATTTAAGAATTATTAAAAAGTAAAGCAAATCAGCCAAAACCCTAGAGTTTCAATCTGTATCACTGAAAGATCAGTGGCGGATCCAGGAATTCAAAATAGAGGGGGGATCGGTTAGGTACTTTCACAGACGAAGGATCTATACCACCTCAGCCCCACTGTGGTTGGGGGTGAGGTAAAAAATTTTGTGAGTTTAGCATCTCTAGATGGCCGGAAATTGCACTCTCACACTTAAAATTTGAATAAAAGTTTGGTGGGGGAGGGGGAAGGCAAGGGCTGGCTGCCCCCCCCCCCTCCTGCAATGAATCTGCAACTGGAGATAATTTATAATATTTTTATTTTTATTTTATATTTTTATTTTTATATTTTTATTTTTACAGTATAAAAAATAAAAGAAAAAAAACCCAATTTAATGTTCTTTTTGTGTTACAAAAAGATTAGGGAGAGCAAAATGCCAAGTGAAAAAAGTGAAGGATCGGAGTAGCATTTGCATGAGGAAGAATTACTATCATTTACTGTATAATGTGTCATTCCCCAGGGGTCGATATGACGATGGTAATGACAGAAGCCTGTAAATGCAATATTTTCTAAGCTGCTGTAATCAATTCTTACCTAGTTGACCAATGATACTTGAGATCACTCCTAGAGGGCTCAATTTCACTTTCTCATCAAGAACCATGTTGATGTATTGAACCTCGGGCAGGTCCTGCAAGAATGGAATATGCAAAATAAACAGTAATGAACATTGTTTGGCTTTAACTTTATGTACTGAATGACAGCAAAAATGAGAAACTCCTGATGGCTGATAACAGCAGAATGAATAAAATGAAAATGTCAACTTTCTCCATAACAATACTAAATTCAAATGCACTCTTTGGTTAAATGTCAAACAAACATGTATACAGTATAAAGAAAACTAAAGGGGGGGGGGGCTAATGTACAATGGTTTGTTACTATGATGCAAAAATGAAGATTTCTTTACATAAACAAGTCTATTGAATGAGGACCTTTTTCAACACAAAGTGTGACCTGGTTTTAGAAATACAAAGTAGATGATAATGTCACAAAACAAGATGGAAGTACGTAAACCCAAGAAAAACTGAAGTTCTTAAAATCAATTATTTAATAATGTAATATAATGTTAAAATAAATATTTCTTTACTCCCAATATATTAAGTGCTTGTAAAATGGTTAATTCTTTTTTTTCTTTTTT